ATATTGATGAGGAGGAGGAGGAGGAGGTGGTGGTGGTGGTGGAGGAGGAGGAGGAAGAAGAAGAGGAAGAGATGAACTCGAGGTCGCCCGACACAACAGGGTACGGGGACGAAGGCGACAGTCCAGGAACGCCGGCAGCCGAGGAAGAGAGCGAGGACTTCAAGCGGCACACGTACAAACCCAAGCCCGGGCAGGACATCTACGGGCGGACAATAGGGCCTACCAAGGGCGGCGCGGCACCCGCCGCGTACGTGCCCCCTCACTTGAGAGCGGCCGCGGCAGCAGCAGAGGGAGGGACGGCGTCCGGAGGCACTGCTGCGGACAAGTTTGGCGGAAACGTTAAGCGTGCTGAGGTCCAGGTGAGGTCCAGAAGCTGGTGAAGGATAAGACCTGCTATTGGGTGACTCCTTTTGTTTTTGCTCGTACATGTGTGTATGCAGCTGGGGCTCGTCTTCGTGGAACAGAGATACAGATCGATTCATTCGTACGTGTGTATCTCTTTTGGGGACAAGGTTTAACTTCGCCCCAAGTCCTGTCTGGATTAAGGATTTGGGTTGTTGTCTTGGTTGGCGAGCCATGTGCCAGCTTGGTGGCGTCATTGCTTTGTCTGCATGTTCGCATGCTCTTGTGTTTGTCTCTGAGAGGCGCTTTGTGGTTTTCTTAACACTAGTATAGCGAGACCCTTGAGACGTTCTTTGGAGCGAGAGCCTCCACACAATCGTGTACGAGTGGATTTGCTCCGTATGATGTTTTTCTTTCTTGTTTGTGCTGGCAACGTCTGCGTCTGTTCCTGAGCGGAGCCACTCGCGCCTGCCGCCGCCAAAAAGACGGCTGTAGCACGCAATACTTGCGTAGTGCTCCAACACCATATACACACCTGAAACACAAAATTGTAAGCATGTACGCATACATCGTTTTTTTTTTGTGAAAACGTATAAACAGTCCATCAGCTTTCGTTAAATCTTTCACACGGGCTTCTTTTTTTTCGTCCTTCATTTTTTTTTACTTCTTGCAGCGAGTGGTAAACGGTATCATGAACCGCCTATCGGAGGATACGCTGGAACCCGTGACGGCTCGTCTACGGGAGGCGTACCGCGGGCACAGTACCACGGAGGTTAACGAGGCGCTCTGGCAGGCTACCAGGGCCGTCTGCGTCCATGACAAGCACGTGAGAGAGGGGCTGGGGGAGAGAGGGCTTACCTATGCGGACAAACGACTCACGAGAGAGAAGAACACTCTCCGATAGATCGTGTGTGCGGCGAACCGAGAGAGAAAGAGAGAGAGACAGACAGACGGACGGAGGGAGAGACACAGATAGACACGCACAGACAGACAGACAGACAGAGACAGAGAGAAGCAGCCACCAAAAATTAAAGTGGGGAGAAACTACGAACGACGGCGTGCAGAGTCGATTTATGATTCAGAGAGTTTGGGTCAACGAGAGTAGAGCGGGGAGGCAGGTGGTGGGGCGGCGCTTGGGTGGGGGGCAGTGTGGTAAAAGGGTACTTCGGTGGATAGTGAACAGGAGGCTTTTAGGAGCATTTTGAGAATGCCTGGAGTTGCTGTTTAGCTCAGCGCCAGGTCTCCCATGGTGCTTGTGCGCGCAGGTTCTCGTTTCCGTTTGCCTTCAGTCATTCGGTCCAAAACGTTAACATATGTCACTGAGCTTGAATCCCATTGCGTCCTGTACCCGATCGCCGAAAATTCAACCTACATAGGTGATGACTACGCTCATCCCTTCCTTCACCGCGGTCATAGCCGCCCTCAACATCTCGCTCGGCGCTGACGTGGGTGGGTTTTTCCTCGAGATCATCGCGAAAGAGCTCAAGGCAGAGGTGCGGCTCCTTGATGACTGACTACAATTGCGTTCCACGAGAGATAGCGTGAGAAGAGTCTTGTCTTCTTATTCTCTCGTTCGATTTTGAGAGTCCCGTTGGCACTTGCTCCTCACGCCTTGACAGAAAACTTGGGTGTCCAAAATCCATGACCGCCGAATCGATATGTGTGTTCGTCTGTTCCCCGAGCCACGTCCCAATATTGCTGAGATCCTCGGAATGCTCGCGTCTTTTCGCTTGCGTGTCCTTCGCTTGCGGTCCATCTCGCGGTTGCCATTAACACGACACAGGTTTGGGGAGCCACTGGCGAAGGAAGGGCCGGGACTGGCTGTGCCGGTGGTTCCGGCAGCGCGCGGCGAGGGGGCAGGGGCACGGGGTCGAACCTCCTGCTCCTTCTGGCCTACCTGTACAACTACGGCGTTGCTCACTGCACGCTCGTGTATGACATCATCGGTCTGCTGGTCGATGGTGCGTTTGTTGTTGATGTTGCTGCCGGCAAGGTTGTGGCGTTGTTGATTTTTCCACCCGTGACACGGCAGCGTGAGCTACAAAGTTTTGGGGTTTACATACGTCGCAGCAAACACATACCAGGGCCCCGGCCATGACCCCCCCCCCCCATCCCCGCCCCTTACGCCAACCTTTGCCAGCGTTTGGTGCGGACGAAATGGAGCTCCTTCTGCTGCTGCTCCGACACAGCGGTTACCAGCTGCGCTCCGACGACCCGCAGGCCCTCAAGCAGATCGTCGCCCTGGTGAAGGAGAAATCGACGGCCGCAGTCGCCGGCTCTGGTACCGAGGCGGCCATCCCCGGGAGCGACGGCGGCGAGAAAAGCTCCATCGCCGAGGAGACCGACCGATGGAAGGAGGCGTTTGCCTCTTCCCAGCCCCGCGGCGACCGCGACAACGACGGAGACGGCAACACCGCCGCCGCCGCCTCCGCCGCCGGTGACGCGAACACCGCGCTCGGAGGGTCCCGCGCCCGCTACATCCTCGACACGATCCTCGAGCTGCAGGGCAACAAGCGCAGCCGGATCCAGGAGCAGGGGCAGGAGTCCGGCCGTCGCGTACGCAAGTGGCTCGGCTCCGTCAAGGCCGCTAAAGGCGGCGGGGGCGGCGGTGCCGGGGGCGGCGGCGACGCGTCGCTCCGGGTGACATGGTCGGAGCTCGTGTCTACGGAGAACAAGGGCCGCTGGTGGCGGGTCGGCGCGGCCTGGGCGGGACGAGGGGCGTCCGCATCCTCATCCCCGGCAGCCGCGACGGTGGAAAGTCGAAACGGCGGCGGCGCAGCTTCGTTGAGTGGAAGCACCGGCAGCGGCGGTGCGAACGATAGCGAGGCGGTGGGGCTTCTGGCCCTGGCGGCCAGGCAGCGGATGAACACCGACGTCCGGCGGTCCGTCTTCGTGGCGATCGTCGGCAGCTCGGACTGCGAAGACGCCTTCGAGAAGATCCTCCGGCTTAACCTGAAGGGGGCGCAGGAGCGGGAGATCGCTAGGGTGATCGTGGAGTGCTGCAGCCAGGAGGGTTCGTACAACCCGTTCTACGCCCACCTGGCGGAGCGTGTGTGCGATCGGCAGCCCAAGCTGAGGTGATGGTTTCTTGCGTTTGTGGGGCAAGGATGGACTTCTTTCATATTGGTGTTCGAGGAGGTTTGTTCCGAGTCTAACCGTTGTGCTTGTGTGTCGCGGCTCTCTGTCGGGGCTAAGTGCGGGTCGCTTTTGATTACGCGATTTTTGGTGAGGTAACAGGTGGACAAAATGCAGGGTCAACTGTCAGGCCTTGTATGTCTCCGACCAGAAGGACGTTGCGAGTGGCCGCCATACGCTCCATCCGAGAGACAGCAACAGACTTGTGAGCGACAATAAACCGGTCTTTTTTTCCGCACTTGACCAGGTTCACGTTTCAGGTGGCGTTCTGGGATGCGCTCAAGACTCTCGATGACGGTGCTGCGCGACGAGCGGGGAGCCTAGCCCGCCTTATGGCCCATCTCGTTGTCCGGAAGCAACTGTCGTTGACCGTGCTAAAGGTACAGCAGTCGTAGCATTGCCGCAAGTGTTTTGCTCGAGGATTCCTCTTGCCTAACTCCGTGGCGACTTGATATTTGGTACCCGCAAGTCGGTCAGTGCTTTGGTACACTTTTATGCGCTCTTGTCCTGGATTTCTGTTGTCAGAATTCTCGATTACGGGTGTGCTTTGGTTGGCTATGCTCCACAGCTCGTGTCGCGGGGCAGGAACATCTCTCTTGTTTCGCCCCGTCGCTCCCCGATCTCCGACCAATGTCTAGACTATACATGATGCGGCGTTTCCATGCACTCATGCCTGTTTTCGGTCCCCCATAATCGCAGACGGTGGACGTCCAAGAGCTATCTCCAAGTGGGCTCCTCCTCATGCGAGTTTTCTTCCATGAGATCATTGCGGCAGGCGACGATGCTGCCTTCATGGAGGTATGTGTCATTTCCCCTCCCAGATATTGGTGAAGCCGCACGAACGGCCGTTTATCGGATACGAAATACCCACTTCCTCCCTCATGTACTTGCACTCTAGACCAAACTCTGTGGGGGGTATTATATTTCGTTGGGCAGCACACCAATCACGCCTAGATTCAGGAGCTTCCATGTTATCTTCAGATGGTATCGAACTTGTATCAACGCAAGCGGTAACGGCGGGGAGAGGGGAGAGGGTAGTCGGAAGGGCAGCATCTTACCTCGGCACGGGAGGGTCTTCTCTTGGAGATGACTGAGGCCTCATGCTCGACGCAGTACAACGGGCGCATTACCACATTCTCTCGGGTTTCTCCTTTCAACCAGCGGATGTTTGTGGCCGGGATGGCGGAGCCATGCGCCACTCGCCAATTTTTAACGCATGTTGTACGGGAGCCCAGAGACCAGCGGTGGTGTCGGGGAACGAACAATCACAGCTCCTTCGGAACTCTCCCTTTGGTTTCCGGTGCGCGCCGTTCGTCGAACGGATCTCGCTTACATGTTGTGCCCATGGGTTTCTCGAGGAGAAAGAACCAGAGACCGTTTGTAAAGACTCCTCCACGCCCGCGCCTGTTAAACTGGTGCCGATGCCATCCCGCAGGTGTTTCGACGACTTGCACGGCCAGCGGGGATGAAGGAAGGCGGGGGCCACTCGGCCGCGAGAGACAACGCCCTCGTGTTCTTGCGGGGACACCTGGGACCCGCCCCCGACGGCTGGGACCGCGACAGGCGGAAGGCGTTTCGAAAAAGGGTGAAGGGGGCGTGTCGGCTCATCGAAGCAATCGTCACTGCGGACGAGCTTGGATGATCGAACTGATGCGGTTTTGTGGTGCTTGTTTTTGGGGATGGGTACAGCAGTAGGTGGGGGCGGTGTTTTACGAGCTTTGGTCATGTTGTGACAGAGGTTGGATTGGCGTAGGAAGACCCCGATGTTTTCGTCCGTTAGCGTATCGTGGCTTTTCTAGCGTTTTCGCTATGTCTACAAGTCCAGAGTATCGCCACACTGGGGGCGCGCGAAAGCATCGCACTGCTACGTAGATGACGGGCATTTTTTCGGACCCCCAGCGGCTCCCCGAACCCGTTTGTAGTTGAGAGTTTTCGCAGAATTTGCCTAGCCAAGGCCATAGCGCCGACAGCGATAAAACTTTCAGCATGGGGTATGCGAGTTACTCATGGGCAACGAGCAAGTTAGGGTTTCTGGCAATGCACTCAGTGTCCTCCTCCAGCTGACATCTTGTACCAGCTTCGAACCTGCATCCCAGGCCAACCGCCTTTCTTCTATGCTTGGGGGATCACATCTTGTGACGGCCACCAATTCGTCTTGCACCGCCGCCGGTTGACTGTTGACGTCATGCTCACCGGAAAATCTACAAATTGCTTTCGAACTAGCGCGAAGAAACCTAACGGAACGTGCAGAGAAGCAAGCTGCGAAAAACGAAAAGTTACCGCAGTACCCCGTCTTTAAACCTGGTCAACAAGTACTAGTATACCGACCACACCAGGATTCAGATGGGCCAAATCCGAAGCTGTTCTTACCGTGGCGAGGACCATATGTCATCTGTTCACAACTGTCACCGGTTGTGTATCGGGTGCAGCGAGTAAATGAAACACGAGAAATATCCGTGCACCTTGCCCATCTAAAACAGTACCATAAAGAGAAAAAACCACCAGCACCACAGTTTGCAAAACTGGCTGAATATTTCCTTGGGAAACAAATTCCCTTACCTGCCCTGACAGCAAACGACGAAAATCAACCGAAAATTGAAAGATACGTCGTACTGAAAGTGGTAGGGCATCGAAGTGGTCAAGGCCGAAAAGGTCCGCACAACTATCGATATCGTCTAAGACTGAAAGGGTACGGTCCTGAATCAGATCTGATGTATCGTGCCGACGAAGTGCCGCAATGCCACGAAATGATTTCCGCATACCGATCAAAACATGATCTGGACATCGCGCCCGCCAAGAAATCGTCTGAAGCGCCGCAGAAAATAGCGAAGCGCAAACGTGACGAAGGTCGGGATCCGAGTACAAACAAACGCGCAAGGCACAAAGCAAAGCCAACCAAGGCATGTACTAAGCCAACAAAATGCGTGAACAAGGAAAGTGCTCAGCGGAAAAGTAAACGAAGTCCGAAGGCAAACAAAAGATACATTTCCAAAGTGTCTAAACGGTGAAAGGAATAGCATCCAAACAATAAGGTTGCTATCCAGCATTTGATTGGGTCAAATGCTGGCGAGGAAATGTCAAGTTAACCGGTCTCTAGTGAAATTGAGGGTCGCAACTCGATGACACTACGTGAGTCACGGAAACAGTCTTTAGACTGTCGAACACCGTATGTCTATCGTACTCAATAAGCAAAACGATTGCTTACACCCAGCGGTATGGTTACGCGAACCAGAACCCGCACAAAGTACAAATTCTTGATACTTAACAAGAATAAACTTTGACATATCATCATTGATTGACATCAATAACTGGTAGCTTGTACGAGCCTTGGAGAGATCAAATCCGTACGGTGTTGCTTTCAACACGTGTGTTTTCCACACGGCACTGTCAGCTGTCTTCGGATAGTGAGGGAGAGATTTAATTTTCGAAAAGCTGTATCTGGATCCAATGTTACATCCATACCTGCTCCACTACAATTAACATGCAAACATGCATGCGCGCCAAAACCCAACTTCAACAAGCTGAGCTTTCGGCGAAGAAAAAGGGGGGCTATGTGGAGGTCAGGATATGGAGATTCAGGGAGCACAGATACACGTACATAAAGAGTAGGATCTGAGAGGATATGTGATAATAGATTACCGTTCTTCGAGGGTCTATGACTCTTACGATTCCCAACGGCTGCGAAGAGTTGATGAATCTTTAGGAGAATGGGAAAAGGGTCCACGAAGGCTCGCCCACTCTCCTCGCCACCCTAGCTTGACTGAGTTCGCTCGGTCACGCTTGGCATTCCTCGCCACATTGCACAAAAGGAAATAGCCAACCTCCGGTGGCAGGACATAGCCACCACACTCCCGGACTCTCTGCTCAGCCAGAGTAGAGGGCTTCCATATTGGCGTCGACGAAGAGAGTTTAGATTAAGCGGGGATGGCACACACTCACACACACAGTCGACAAGGATACTTCGGGTCCAGCCGGCCAAAGCATTCCGTCAACCACTGTAATCTTTCTCTATGTTAACCTGGTTTGCTGTTTGCTCCTGTGCACGGCGCAACGCTCGGTGATACCAAACGACATAGCATACCTCTCTACGCTGAATAGCACCCATGCTCGCGTGCTGTACAGCAGTGACACACACGTGGAAGGTATACCGTTTGCATTGGAAATATCCCGCTCGGCCAGACCTTTTTTCGAAGCTCAATTGCCCCACAACCAACGAGAATGCCATGCCAAAACGACGCGTTCCGGCGAGATATCTCGCCCACAGAGCTTTCCTCACGTTTTGTGTTGTCATCGGCCGGTTTTCGCAAGAATAGGCGAGACACCGTGAAATGTGTCGTATCCAGCTGTTTTACAGCAGTCATAGTCTAAAGAAAAACGCATGCTTCCTGTATGACTCCCACGGCTGCCTGACGTATTGTATACCTTGCGCGCGATCTTCATATACCTATGGACTTATCTTCCGCAAACCTATTCCTCCGGGTGGAATTAATTTGTTGTTGTGTTGTTGGGTGTGTATCCGCTGCCCCGACGAGCACTCTGCAGTCTTAGAAGAGTATACTGGAGGTTCAATCCATAGTTCACGGACACGGGGGGAAGGGACGGCTAACGTACTAGGCCTAGACTACTAGGCTGTGATCTCGGGGAAAGGTGCCTGGCGCGGCGCCAGTGCCACCCGTGCTCGAGGTCCATTTTTTGGCATTTTTTTGTGTCGCACAACACACATCACGCGACCTCCCGGAAAGATATGCCTCATTTTCCCGATGGAACAACTCCGAGGGGGGGGTTACTTGTATTCTGCGGACCCCCTCGCGGATGGCGGCGAGTTGATGGCCGGGAGAGGTCAGCTTCCCTGTGCCTCCCTCGAGCTCGTCTGTAACCATGGTCAAGGACAAGAAGGCAAGCGAGTTCGCCACGCGCGACTACACCATCCACCTCAGCAAGAGGTTGTATGGCGTTACCTTCAAGAAGCGCGCGCCGCGGGCCGTGAGGGAGGTGAAGAAGTTCGCGCAGCAGATGATGAAGACCAGGTGTGTGTCTGCTACCGCTGTGTGGTGTGTTGGGATATCAGAGAGCTGGGCAGCATAGGCACAAGGAGCAATGCAGGTGCAGGATATGGCCCTGTGCTGTTTCTTGCACTGGTGGTACGTTGGTGGGAGATGCGGAGCCCGAAGAGTGCTGGTCTCAGGCTGACGGGTGCTTGGGGAACTCTTGGGAGCAAGCCCTTCGTGTAGGCCGCACACAGAGCACGCCTGCAGCAGTCTGACCAGAGAGAGGACTTAGGTGGGGTGGCAAGCCTATGCTATTGTATCGTGCAGAGGATACCGAGAAGATCACTCCCTCTTTTGGACGGCCCTTCGTTGTGCGTAGCTCCTTGGCCTTGAATTGAATCCTTGACGTTACACACACGACTGGAGAGCGGACGCGCGCGGGTTCCGTTTGGTCCTGTGGCGATGGGATGTGATCGTCTCCCAAACCACCGCAGTAACTGCTGTATCCACCTGTTGTACCTGCCCAGTAGATTGTCCTGCCAGTGAATGGCCATCTGCACCTTTCGCATCGGCGTGCCACTGTTCAGCACGTGGGGTGCTGCTATATTCGGTACAGACTTCATATATATGCAGCTCTTGGAAAGAATGTGTGTGTGTGTGAAATGGTGTGAACTCAATTAGTACCTGATGGCAAGGCGCGCGGGACCTGTTGTCGCCGAGCGCCCAAATCAACTTGCGGCTTTGGTCGGAAGGCACACTACTGCTGTAGATGATTCCTTCTCTGTGTACCGGCGGTCCCTTCCATGCAGCTGTTCATATGCAGATGTGTTTTCTCTACTCACCTTTCCGCGGAGATCTCTGCGTGTAACTGCCGCTTTAGCCAAGCACGTGACCACTCCCTCAAACCCCTAAATCCATGCCGGCTGCTGCTGATGGTTTGATTGATACATGCCTCACACGCGTACAGAAGCTATGCGCGAACATCTTCAAACCTACCACGGAACAGGTGCATTTTTTCTTGTGTTGACATTGATGTTTTTTGAGGTTGTTCATCCTGGTCTCGGCGAGAGAATGGACTGCTCTACCGCACAGCTGCATCGAAAACGAACAAGTTCCCCTGGCTTAACCCTGTTTCCGGGAAGGGGGCGTGAGTTGGAGCTTGTCTTGAAAAACGTTGCTTGCGAGACATGTTGCAACAGTACCAGCTCCGGCCCAGCGATCCTTTGGCTGTTAACGAAAGAGTCGGGGAGACAGTGATCATACCCTCCTGCTGGCGTACATAGAGCAGCTTTGATTGCCTTCAGGCATGGCTGGCTTACCATTCCCATGCAACCAGGCGCGATCTACCCACTCCTTTTGTCCCCATTCAGTAAATCCTCGTGATCCCTCCGGCCTCAAGAAATGCCGCCACGCCTGCTTGCAGCTTGCCACCTCATTGGGCTATTTTTGAGCCTGGTCCAGCAGCAGTTCCGTCCCTCACACAGGCCCCGTCGCGTCCGTTTTGAGTGCCGACTGCCAGTTTCAGACGTGATTGATTGTGGTTGCGATTCAAGACTTGACGGATGCCCTGGCCCGGCCTTCGACGTGAGTTCTGATCCGTTTCGGACTGGCTGGCAGATACTCGATCAACTCTCACATTGTCCCTGAACATGGAAGATTACCAGACGCGTTTGCTACCTCCGCTGTAGTGGCTATCGCCGTTGTGTCCACGCAAAATAAATACCATCGAGCGTGCCAGCGCCAATTCTGCATTCTGACATACATCCTGTATGTGGTTTCAATTTCTCCAAGTCCCCACGGAGCCACCGAGTATCCTTCGAAAAATTCCAAGCCACACAATCGTACTTGGGAGGAAGACCATCGCTGAGGAGTAGCTGTTTTCTCTCCCTACCTCAAAGGCACACCACCGAGCCATGATCGTACCGACCGCTGTGTCCGTCTCACTGTTCGTTAGAATATCCTCGTGACAGCTCAAAGCTTTTCTATTCTCAAGTTCCGCGCCGCCTGGTCTGATTTCCTCACGGCCAGCAACTCGGCATGTAGCAAAGTGCAGCACACAACGGCCCGATCGCCTGACGATATTTCGATGAGCATTCTGAGTGACGTTGTTTGGCGTATGTAGCGTTGGACGAAACTTGTCCTCATGATCTCGCCTGCCGCGCCACCGAACGAGTCGGTTACAACGGATGTGTTGTTTGTGCTCTTTGTTCTGGGTGCGAAAAAGACGCATTGAAGTAAAGGACCCAACCGGACACAAAGCACATACCAAGTTATTTGGCCAAATGCTCTTGCTGGCCATGGTCTGGTTTGAATGCGTCTCGTTTCGCTTGTTGTTGACTTTTTCGCGTGTCTTTTTTTCCTGCCATTCTCTGGTGTTTGTGCTGTTTTGTGGCAGCGACGTGCGCGTGGACGCCAAGCTCAACAAGTTCCTTTTCTCCAAGGGTGTGCGCAACGTGCCCACCCGGGTGCGCGTGCGCCTTTCGCGCAAGCGTAACGAGGACGAGGAGGCCACCGAGAAGGTGCGTAACTGTGTTTGGTTCCTGTGGTACAGACCTCCGACGAGACTGTAGGACTATTTTAGTCCGTGGGATGTGTGTGTGTGTGTGGTTTTCGAGTGGGTACTACTGCCGTACGCATTTTCTTGGGTTGTATCGCATTGTCGCGTGATGTTTGCAAATCGGGTAAGTTAGTAATGGTTGGAAAATCGCTCGTTGACAGGGTTTATCAAAGGTGATGGCCGGTAGGTACAAAGGTGGTTCTCTGATCTTGGGGGAAGCCTTGTGGTGTAATGGTGTGCGCGGCATAGATGGCCATGCTTTCTATTCAGCTTTTCTTGCGAGTTTACCGCTGTGTGGCGTGACACTGACAAGCACGTTCGAGGGTTTCGAAGAGTGACGATTTTCTCATGTAGCTCGTCAGTCCTTTGGTCGAGACAATTCTCAATTCGTCTCCTGAAGGTCTGTCTACACTTTGATGGTGGTACATACGTGGCTGAAACCTTGGCAGCGCGCACGACTTCGCATGTTGCCCGGGAGGCGATAATCTAGGCGGAACCCCCCCCCCCTCCCGAAAATCCTTTGGTTTCGGTTTGTGGCGGCAACGGTACCAGTGAAGTGTCCCTACTTGTTTATGGCCGGCCGTCCCATAGGTTGTTGAAATATTACCGCTGATTTGTCCAGCGAGCAGAGTGTGGCCTCGACCGAGCGGTACCCAAAAATTTGGATGTATAGGCAGTTGGTCGTGGGTGGCGTGAATCGACCTGCCGTGTGGTCTATTGTATGTATGTAATGCACCCAAAGGGTATGGAGTTGTGTATTGAACTGCTGTGTAGCGTGCCCAACCTATCTACCTGGTTGGGTATAGAGCAATTTTCAACCAGCTTAATCTTGTGCGGCAATTTACCGATCGAGGCAACTGATGAATTTACATGTTTTCTTGATCGAACTTTGAGAAAACGCCGTCCGGTCCTCGTGCTGACCCCACCCCTATGGCCCTTTGTATCGTCCCCTCCCGCCCTCCCCATTTTACCTCGTCCTCCCAGCTGTACACCCTTGTCCAGCACGTGGAAGTGGCCAACATCAAGGGCCTTCAGACCGAGAACTACGACCAGGCCTAGACCGCCTGTCTGTACGGGGTTGCACACGCTCGATAAACTTTTGCCGTTGCTTCGATCTAAAAAAGGAAGCTGTTGTAGCGCTTGGTTGAGCTATGCTAGCTACTTTGGGTAGAAGAGCCCGATTTAGTTTTCGGGTCAACTTCTTGTTCAGGGGGGAGTGAGTGGGTTGTGGAAGACGAAGCGTGTTCTTCCGCTCTGGGAGTGATTTTCGCCGCGGCGGCGACGCTTCTTCGCTCTTGCCCCACACCGGCAAAGCACAAGAGCGCACGGTGGGAAGCAAAAACATTAAAAAAAACAAAAAAATCAAACAAGTTTCTGTTTGGAGTGCTCTCGGCAGTAGTTGGCGAGCCACTCACTGCTGAGTGGTATGTCCCGCCACCTGCTGAACGGGGTATTGCGGACAGCGGTGTCTCGCACACCTTCTCCCTGTTCGGTGATGCCGTATGCGTACGTACCGTCAGATGTCGGTGGCTTGAGGCTACAGGGCAACAACCTGTTTGCCTGTGGCGCGATCTGTTTCGATGTTCGGTCATCGTCACGTTGTTCCAAACCGAAATTTTGTCCATCTCCAGCCGCCGTAGCAGTTCCACGGGTAGGTGTAGGTTGTTGTCTCGTGCTCTATTCTACCGCGGTCGTTTGCTGCCTTGGTTCGCTCTTGGCTGGTGCTTCCACTCGAGGACGTTCGTGAGCTCTCTCCCACGTAGTTTTTGCGCGTTGCGAGTGACGATGTCTTCCGTTCCACTGCTGCTGTCCCGCCTCTATCCACAGCAGCAAAACAGCGTTGACACCATTTCACCGAAGCTGAGCAACGGAAGTTCGCAAAAGACACGTGATTTATTCCCGGCGCTCGTCCTTTCGTGTTGTCCACGAGCTTGCCTTGGGTCGCTAGATATAGCATTGTCGTAAAAAAACATTATTCCCGTGACAACTACCTTGGTACCTCTAGGAACAAACGCTGACGACATTTCACCCTGGGTTCAACCAGGCGATCAAGCAACAATGCGCACATAAAAACACGCGACAGCCGGGAGGAAACACCTCACGAGAACCCCATGGGGGGTGACGGAGTTATGTCATTGATCACATCAAATAAATCCTGGAGTTTGTAGTCAACAGCAGTCTCACGCGCCCGGTTGTTGTACATTTCCGTGGCCCTCGTGACACCCTTGTTCTCGAGGGTTACAGTACTGTTGCTTGGGTTGGCTTGCTGGGTGTGTGATAGTTTTGGTGGTGATATTCGTATCTTCGTCACCGCACCTCATGTGATGAGCCTTCATGCCTTCCGAGATCCTTCCGCATTGGGGGGGACCAAGAGTTTACAGGGAAAACGACTACAGGGGTGTGGGGTCACCCGACCTGGCGAATTGACGTGGCCCCTTTGCGGTCGGGGCTGCGCTGGTTCGCGACACAAGCTGCAAGACAACAACCAACACGTCGGCAAGGCAACAACTCTCGGTGAGCGTAACAGAGTCTTGCGGTACCTCACCACTTCGTTGTCGGTTATGGTACCTCTCAGGCAGAGCTCTCGGCTTGCTTGCTTCTTGCAAACCAAGCACACCAAGGACGTCTTGTCGCGTAGGTCCCCGTAGCAAGGTTATAACGCTGCTTGAGTGACGCAAAGGAGGGTACATAGCGCTACCACCTTTGCGCTGCAGCGGGCAGCATCAAGGGAGTACGTGGCGCATCGCAGGGGCAGGGGTGTGTGGGAATCAACTGTCACGCTACTGGTTCTTTGCAAGTCTGGGAACCTCACTTGTTGCCCCTCTTTGTTGACAATATGCCGCATGTTGCGTTTGCTTGCGCGAAGGGCTTCGGATTTGCCCACACATTGCCCGATTCCATTCACCTGTAAACTCGTGGCGGTGTGCTACAACGCATATGCTGCAAGAGATAAGCAAGTGTGCCGTTGATTCTTCTTCAAAGCAGCCGGGATACTCGAATATGGAATATTGAACAACAGCCCCCCCGTGTCGGCAGTGCTGTCGGATAACGGTGAACATCACTTGCCCGAACTGCTTTATGTAGCGTTACAGCGTCCCTGGTGTCTCCCTCACGTAACTGACGCTAAAGGATGGTGATAACCCTCGGTAGCTATGGAAGCTAACGCTAGAGCAACTGGTGTTGCATCGTATGCGGCACGGGATTACTAGACCGTTAGTAGCTTGCACATCTGTCCGAAGCACGCACGTGTGTTGCGCAGTTTTTCTGTGCACACAGCAGACAAGCGCTCCCGTTTTTACCTTCCCGCCAAATGGTACACATGTACACATGGAGACTACCCTCGCACGCGCAAATCGCCAAATACATAACGCCTCTGCGGGTGTTCAGACAACCAAGATGCAGCGCGTTGTCCTACTTTGGGGACCTTCCTTGTCAAAGAAGTGTTCCATGTTTTTGCCGCGCGGTTCCCGACAGCAGTACCCGCCCCATGGCGAAGCAACTCTACTGCTGTACACCGCACACGGGCCCTCAAGTATTGTTACCCATGGAACGAGCGCCACATCCGACTCGGATGTTACTTACGACGACGCCCGCCGTCGCCTTTGTGCTGCTACCACAGGAGAATCCACAAAACCGCCAGACAACCATGCTGCGCTTCGCCGTCTCCAAGGTCGCAACGGTAGCCCTCAGACCCGCGGTGAGCGCAGCGGCACCGCGGGCGGTCGTGGCGGCAACAACAGCCTTGCCGCCGCAGCAGCAGCGCTTCTTTTCCGCGAAGGAGGACGAGGAGGTCGTCAAGGTGGTGCTGGCAGACTCCCTCGAGTGGGCGCTCTCCAGCCCCCCGCCGATCCACCAGTTCGACGAGCCCCCCATCGTCGTAGAGATCGCTGAAGCTTAAAAGATCATTAGTAGCGGGTGGATGGATGGATAATTTGCACATGCACTGCACCCGGCGCGATCTTCGCGAAGGGGGACGTGCGTGATGGGGAAGGCTTCGCCGTGCAGGACGGTGACAACGGAGTGGAAGGGTTGGGGAACAACATATCGGTGAAGTCGATGCGAGCGTCTGAGAGCCGCGGTGGCACCTACAAAGAACCCTACCGATGGGTGTGTGTATCGGCAGCCGAGAACGTGCCGACAAGAATAGCTGACGGTCGTCTTCTGTCTCTTTTTTTTTAGCGCTTTGTCGATGTTCGAGCGGTTTTTCAGGGGGGTCTTGCCGGAGCCCTTTGCCGAGTGGGTTGGGTTCGTCGCACGATTTGAGTTGTTGCTGTGGTGGGTGTTGCCTCTCATGTACCACGACACGTACAGCAGACGATACGGGTCGCCGGAAGAACAGGGTGGGACCGGTGGAGGGCTTCAGGAGTTTACTTAGGCGCGTTGCTACGCAAGTCTCGTTTGAGAATCTAGCTTGCCATCAACACGGAACCACACTCTGAAGCACTTGATTTTGGTTGGGGGGGGGAAACATCGCGTTGTACAACGAGGGAAGAAACTAAAATACTGCTGTATTTGCTGCATCCTGAAGGTTGAGAATTCGATATGAGTTTCGATCCACGCGAAGAACGTTTTTTTGTGGCGTGCGCCCTTGACGTAGTACGCAGTACGCGTGCTCCTTCAAGTTCGATCTGCCGGGTGCGGTTTTGTCTTCTCGTGCGCAAACCACGCCCGGTGCGCACCCCTTGTTCTTGCCATGCCTCGTTCGTTCTCGAGTCCGTCTGGCTTCGTCAGGGAACCGGCACAAGACTCGTTACGCCACTCCAATGTCAGCTGACGTGTGTGTCTTCGGCCACAGGCCGTCTTGGGGTGTACAAGGGTCGCGTATACAGTCGGTACATTTTTCCGTGAATCGCTCACGCCCGGGGTGTACGTTTCGTACCCAAACCGTGCTCGAACAGCGAGGTCACCAGACAAGTATGCTTGGCCTTCGGACCGAATAGCGCATGTATACGGTCTTTTTGTGGACGAGTACTCGCTGATCGCACGGGCGCTTGCGCGTGGGCACGGCTTTTATCATCGTACCCGCCGGCGTTTTAGCTGCAGGACAACAAAATTCCCATCCAACGGGGGGGCAACGGAAGGAGGTGAACTCGTTTTCCTTCCGCGAATCGTTGGGTACGTGGTGTGTCCCTTCGTAGAAAAACGCGTGGTTCGCCGGTGGTTTTGTTTTCCGGTCCCAGTTGTGGAATCAGAATTTAGATTTTGTTGGTCCTCTTCTCTTCGCCCCGTCATCTCGCGTACCTCTAGAACCTCATGACACTGCCCAATGCTCACCCGCCCCCCGCCCCTCCTCTCTCGGGAGCCAATCTTGATGACAACGATCATGCTCACAGGGTGCCCGCCTTAATGAAAGTACCTCTTTCGCACCCGCCTGACTGAATAGGTGCACGGGTTCTAGCCACAGACCACAGTAGCGGCAACAGATCCGCGGCCGGATCCCGTTTTCTCGACATGCCGTCGTATTGTGTGCGTCCCGCCCTACCCCGCTGCACTCTTCTTTTTGCGGAACCGTGAGGCTGTCTCGCGCGATTGTGGCGCAACGCCCTCCGCATTTTCTTATTCTCTTGCCTCTTGACGTTTACTCCAGTCCCTTGGAAGTAATAAGTCCCGGCCGCCCTGTTGGCATGCATACATTTGATGGTATCACAATTCCACGCTTTCCGCACAAACACACAAACCATACCGAGCCTCTGTACACACGTCACAGCAGAGCCTTGCACCGGTGATGGTCTTAGAATACACATGTTGACAAGGCAGTAGGGCATTTGCTGCCGCACAAGTAACTTGAATGATTCAATCGTACCCACGGGAAAAAAAAAGGCAATAAAGCAACATACAGAATCTCGCTCACGCCCAAAAGGCCACAAGCAAGAATGGGGCGACCAACCCAAAAGCAGCAGCATTCCCCAAAAGAAAAATAAGCTCCGTTTTCTCTCGCCCCACACATACAACAAGGATTTGTCTGCGAGAGAGGGGCCGACCGCCTTTATGGTACAGAAACATTGGAATGAAACAAACACACGGGCTGGTCGGTTTCCCCGCATCGACCTCGTCGCCCGCACAAGAAAACTACTATTATCGTGGCGGGAACAAATATCGACAACCTTACGTCACCGTGATAAATTTTGCAATCACTACGACCCCCACACACACCCCACTACGTGCCCCTACTACTGCCCCTGACACAAAAACACCGCAATTTGCAACACCAACAAACAAGCGAAGGGTGAGAGTCAAAAGAACGCCAGGTGAGTGAATTGAGCAACAACGTCACCGACGCAAGCAACAAGTGCGGAAACCTTCTCGTTCACACGAATAAAGAAGACTTTCCGTTCATATGGATAACGCTTCCAACTCACACGTCCAAGGAAAAGAGAAAAAAGGACAGCGCGGACGAACGGGCTAAGCCCCCTCTTCCCCCCCCACACGCCCATTTAGTTTAGGGTCTCTCTTGAAAGAAAAAAAAAAGCCGACTAGATTCGCCGAGCCTCCGTTGGAGAACAGAATGTGCTATTGTGCTACCGACCGCGTGATATGTACACGTGATATCACCTCTCCGCCTAGCAACTAAAACTATCGTACAATATGCGCTTCGACCCATTTTACTAGAAAACCCTCAACGATGCTCTACCCGCCTAATCTCACTTCCCTCTCTCTCTCTCTCTCTCACGCGCATTTGCCTCCCCTAACTGGCCTATTAAAATGAGTGTTCTAGCATACCGCCGCAAAAGTCTTTCCTGGTCGACGAAATATAGAGCGGTGCACGCCCACACATCCTCGACTAAATCCGCCACAAACCTTGCACACCGCACAGAGTCGTCGCCGTAAAAGATTCTGGCACTAGAGTACAGCAGTCTCGAGACGAACACGTGCGGCTAGCACTCCGCGAGGTCATGGGAACACGCGACTCGTTGCTTTCACTTGGAACGCCGAAAAACACTCAATTCGTAACCTCCGAGAATTTTCAGCACTGGTGGTGGTGAAATTATTCCGGAGTAATAATAAAGCATGAAATAATATATGAGTAGCACTACTGCTCTCGAGAGCGCAACAAAAGCAGAATCCTCCACCAACAAGCCGCAAGCCTAGCGTCAAAAAACCGTCAACGACTCTCATCTCTCGACACGCTGGCTCGAGCAGATAATCAAAACACGCACCGTCCAAGGAAAAAAAGAAGAGATCGACAAAACCACTCTCATCCCCCCCCCCCCCACAAAAAAAGACAGGCAACAAAATCACCACCAAAGAAAGAGAGAAATGAAGTACGACATGACACCTTTCGCCAGAGGAAGAAAAAAAAAAAGAAGCACAATGAAACCACGAGAAAAGCACAACAGCAAATCAAATGTGATCAAAACATGCTCGAAGCTCTCGGGATCCCGCTGCCTCGCGCGCCGCCGTCCAGCCTGCTCCTCTCCTCGTTCTGCCACCGGGTCCAGCCCAACACCCTCGCGCCTTTCAGCACGGCGTCCAGCGACCTCGACTTCAGCTCCCCCTTCCCCGCCCTGATCCACTCGTGCCCCAACGCCTTCTCCGCGGAAAACCTAGCCGCCGGCCCCCTCGGCGTCATGAGCGCCCCCACCAGGCCCTTGGCCTCCGCCGAAACGCCCGCCCAGGCGGGACCGGTGGCGGTGTCCGGCGCCTTAGGGTTGACGGCGGACGAGAGGGTGGCCACGCGGGGCGGCGAGCCGGAGAGGAGGGTGTAGAGGAGCGCCCCGACGGCGAACATGTCGGCGGGCTTGCCGTGCGGCTCCTCGAGGATCATCTCGGGCGCCGAGAAAGCTGCGAGAGCGGGAGTGGGGAGAGAGAGGGATGAGGGTGGAACAAGGTTTCGCGAGGGGGATACGCTGCATCGGTGGATAGCGAATGGAAGTCGTCAGATCATCGAACACGCTGGGTTCAGCTGAGACGGTTTCTTTGTCGTCAAGGGACTTTTTCCAGCGCTAGAGTACTGTGGGGAGGGAGATGTGGCAGTGCGAATTTCGGGTTGGAGAGAATTCTCGACAAGATCATGCGTCCGTGTATGATGATCAGGCGATTTTCGGCGATCGTGAGCGTATTTTGGGCGCACAAACACGATGGTAGCCCTCGCAAGCGCAGCGTTCACTTGTCTACGCGAGTCTAGATGATCACCAAACCGATAGACACCATCATACCACCCACTCATTCCGGCGCGCGGCACACCTCCCATGGACACGATCTGCACGCGGCTGGCTACAGTACAGACACGCAATCTACGGACAAAACGAAACTACCCGCTGGCGCCCAAAGTCTCTCACCCAAAACTACGCCGCCGTTCATACCCGGCGCCCAACATCTCTCTCCCCTATACCTCCTTACCTCGGTTGCCGAAGCAGTGTTCTCCAGGGACCTCCCCGCTGGGCGGAAGCCTCTTAGATCTCCCCCACCCGGCCACCTTGACCCTCTTGCCGATCCCCGGCTGCGGGCCCCCCGACGGGTCCCTGGCCATCAGGAGCTTCTCGGGCCTCAAGTCTCGGTGAACGCAGCCGACCTCGTCGTGCACGTGCTTCAGGGCCTGCAGCAGGGCGATAGCAATCTGCCGCGCGTCGTGCTCGGTGTAGGAGTGGAGCCCCGCCACCGCGTCGAGGATGTCGCCCCCATCGAGGAGCTGCGGTGCAAAACGTCCGTTGTAGTAAATGTGTTTTCCGGGGGGGGGGGGGGGGGGGGGGGGGGGGG